ATGAATGTTCTAAATAGTTATGTTGGTATCATATGTTTTTCCTATACAAAAATAAATGATGCTCTAACTCGCAAAATTTGTGCGATATCTTTTCAAAATCTTCAAGACTTACATAACTGTTGCATTAGAATTTTCATTCTCATTGTAAACTTTTTCTAACTGCAAAACATTTGTTTGATATCAAGGAAGCTCACATATAAGCACTAGTGATGAGTTTATTCTTTTAAGGCCTGAAACTCTGTTGAGTAATTAGAGAATCATTTCAAGAAAAAATCATATCAGGGGGCATGTCACATGAAGACCTTAAGCACAAACGTGTTGCTTCTCCTAGTTAATGTTTTCCCAACTTGTTTACTCTTTTGGGGCAAAATTTGAAGACTTTGTTGTGCCAACTACAGTCAATCCGGGGCAATCACGTCGATATTTGATGAATCTCTCTAAGAGTTTGAAGACACCAGAGCATGGTGAATGCCAGGTCTTTTGTAAAATCCTCTTAAGACGATTTCTCCTCATCAACCAGATAGCTTGGGGCATGTTAGAAGTGAAGCTATTCGCAAGAATTGTCGTGCAACATGCAGCTCATCAGCAGTAAACTTGGGGCATCCAAAATTGGTCCCAGGGGCAATCTAGATTTGTCAAGATATGTGATATGTATTGCACACATTATCAGAGGGTGGTGTTCCCAAAATCTCCAGCTAAGCATGACTTTTTCCAGCTGAAGCATTGTTCGTGTCGTTATCCTTTCGATGGATTGTCGACAAGAGAAGACTGGACTTTGGGTTTTCTACCTGAAAATATCTTCCTCTCCAGAGATATTTAAGCCTTGTAAAAGGACCTTGCTCCAATGATGGCCTGTGTTTTATCTCCAGTAATGTTCCCATCCTGTTGAGATTAGCCGAGTGTTGGGTTGTGCTATGATGTCTTATCATCTCCAGTTTATCTTGTCTATTTGTTTTGTCAGCACATACATGGCATTCATTTATTCATTCACACTTGCATCATGCACGCACAATTGTATTTGTTGATGTCATTGAGTTCGTATACCTTGGTTGTGTCTATTCAAATAATGCATTTGATCTTTCCAAGTAGAGTGCCAACTTAAGCAGAAAGTGCGCCTTCTTTCTAATTCCCCACTGAGTTAACTCTCGTGGAAGAATCTTGCTTTAGCTTTCCTTTTCCATCTCTGGATAGGATAAATCCCCATTTGAGTTATTTCCTCATTGGGTGGAGTCTTGTTTGACTGTTTTCTCTCTAGTTTATTCCTGGATTGAGCTGTGTCTCTTGTGAACGATACCCTGTGAATATCTCTAGGCTGTGAAACCTAGATGGAAAGTGCATTTATTTTGCAATGTAAATACTTGGTCTCCTCAAGAAGGATTTACTCATGGTTCCCCATTGAAGATGGACTCTATTCCCTAGTAGTGTTATCACAACCTTCTTCTGGAATATCGACATGACAACAAGCGACTGACTCTTTATTTGAGCAGTTTGATTATTTCTGTTTTCTTTATGACAAATGGCGGTCTCTTCATGAGCAGTTTGTCCATCCCCGATGAAATTATTGGTTCTCACCTCCAGCAATATCTTCACGATATTTTATGGCAAACAGCAAGCGGCGGTCTCTTCATGAGCAACTTGTATGTTATTGATACATTTGAAAAAACAGCAAGCGGCGGTCTCTTCATGAGCAACTTGTATGTTATTGATACCTTTGAAAAAACAGCAAGCGGCGGTCTCTTCATGAGCAACTTGTATGTTATTGATACATTTGAAAAAACAGCAAGCGACGGTCTCTTCATGAGCAACTTGTATGTTATTGATACATTTAAAAAACAGCAAGCGACAGTCTCTTCATGAGGCAACTTGTGTGTTATGGATACTCTTGACAAACAGCAAGCGGCAGTCTCTTCACGAGGCAACTTGTATATTATTGACACCTCGAAAAACGCCAAGTGGCAGTCCTTTCATGGGTAGCTTGTACGTTATTTTTTCTTTTGAAAACGGCAAGTGGCAGTCCTTTCATGGGTAGCTTGTACGTTATTTTTTCTTTGAAAACGACAAGTGGCAGCTTCTTTCATGAGCAACTTGTACGGAAAACGGCAAGTGGCAGCTTCTTCATGAGCAGCTTGTACGTTAGTATTTCGGAAGACAGCAAGTGGCAGCTTATCTATTTGAGCAACTTGTGTGTTATTGTTCCCTTGAAAACGGCAAGTGGCAGCTTCTTTATGAGCATCTTGTGGGTTATTGGCAACAAGGGGCAGACTCTTCATGAGCAACTTGTGTACTTTGATATTCTTTGAAGACAACAAGTGGCGGACTCTTCTTGAGCAGCTTGTATGCTTTAATTTTCTTCGAAGCCAGCAAGTGGCATCTTCTTTATTTAAGCAGCTTGTATGTCATAGCACTTTTTTTGAAGACAGCAAGTGGCAGCTTCTTTATTTGAGCAGCTTGTGTATCCCCAACAATAATGTCTACTCAGCAAATGGCATCCCTTTCGGAAAAGTCCCGTGGGGAAATTTTTTATTTTATCCTTTTCAAGCGATATCTTGGTTAAAGAAGAAATGTGTTACCGTTCTTGGTAAAATTCAGAAATCAGAGATGTTTATCTCCAGCCACAGTGCTGATGTCAATCATTTTGTTTTCCAGCCACAGTGCTGATGTCAATCATTTTCCAGTCTCAGTATTGATGTCCATCATTTCCTTTTCCAGTCACAGTGCTGATGTAAATCATTTCATTTTCCAGTCTCAGTACTGATGTCCATCATTTCCTTTTCCAGTCACAGTGCTGATGTAAATCATTTCTTTTTCCAGTCTTCGTACTGATGTAAATCATCTCTTTTCCAGTCTCAACACTGATGTAAATCATTCAAGAGTCTCTCATTTGAAGTCTATGACTTTGTTTCCCCAGTGGAGTTACAACCTCTTCCGCTGTGGGATTACTGTATAATGTGCTTGGTTTCTCCAGCATAGTCTGTCTCATATGGCGTCATTCCCCATAAAATTCAAAACATCACATTCATATCATATCGTAAACATAATCGCGGTATCTTAAGGCCAAAAATTGTGTATTCTATATTTAAGTCCCTTCAATCTCGTCGAAATGAAGATCTCAATCTTCATATCTCTAGATAGAAGAAACTTAAATAGGGGCAGCTGTTGTACCCCAATTTTTGACCTAAGATCCCATTTTTATTTTTGCATTTTTTAAGGTAAGTCAAGGTCACGAAATACGGTCGGTTTTAACGTCTCACCTTTGAGCTTTGACTATGCGAAGATTGTCAAGTGTTTTTAACATTTTTAGCATATGTATCACTAATTTCTAATCGCATACAAAGGTGTATGTTCATGTTTTCTTTTGCTTCATGTGCAGAGACAGGTCTGAATCAAGAGCATCAGGTGTCGCGCCTCAATTAAAGTTTTGAGTCTCCCAAGCCCGAAGTACGGTTGATTGTGGATTCTCGAAGACTGATTCATCAAGGCACAACTGTTGCACCCTAAATTTCGCCCCTAATATGTTTTAGTCGCACTTTCATATCATATTTTGTTATTTGGTCACAATCATTAATAAATAGCTTCATTCATTACATTTGCATCATTTAATCGTGTTTAAGTTGACCAAAAGTCAGTTTAAATTGACATTTGCATCATTCTGTAGTGGAAAAATACCCGACATTTAACTTCATGCATTTTTATCTGTTTACTCATTTCTTGCATTGCTCCAAGTTGTTTATATGTTGATAATAAAAATATTTCGGTTTTACAAATAGACGGTTAAAAGAGATTCAACACGGTGCGAAAAATTAGCGAGAAAAATATTTCAAGTTTTCACCTTTTACCGATCGTTTTATGAATCTGCATCTCGCATAGATTATGAAGGTATGCTCGCTTTATTTTTTCGGTACAGTTTGAAGTCCCATTTTTAACCGTAAAATGTCTGTTTAGCCTGATATTTTTATTATCATTTTATTTCGATTTTGACTTTTCGAATATTTTTTCTTTAATCTTTGTGACATGTAATTTATTTTAATGTGTTCATTTTATTTTTTTCGGATAAATTTTCGTCTGTTTTTAGCGTTTTCGATCATTTTGGGTCTTTATTTTTATTCAGAAAATATTCAAAAAAAAATTATTTTAAATTGAATTAATTTAAATACTTTCAGTTTTTTATTTCATTTTTTATCATTTAAGGGCGTTTTTGTCATTAAAAAATATATAATACACCTTGCTCTATTTCTATTGGTTAATAGCATAAGTTATGGATTGATAAAATTGAAATAATTTTGGACGGATACGATTGAACGATTGAAACTGAAATCATCTTTTTCTATTTTCACTTGTCTATATAATACTACTTACTCTTTCTTTGTAAAAGACAACAAACACAGTAAATAAACTCACTTCCCCTCTCTCCAAAAACAAAACAAAAAGCATAGCAGTAGGTAACCAAAACTAAAAGATGATAGACCTCAAATACATATGGGTACTCATTTCAATCAACAGACACATTCTCACCACAATCCAAAACGAAAAAAAGCAGAAAATCGCTAAACTCAAAATGCATCACAACCATCAAAATCCAAAACCAACAACAATTCTTCGAATTCTCCCACCAATCAGTCCTCTCCAATCTCTACTACACCACTGACACCACATCACCATCCCAATTTCCCTTCTCTCACAATTATCCCTTTTTCCCTCTCACAAGACGCAGCGCAACACAGTCCATAGATTTGGAAAATTTGCAGCGAAGCTAACTGAGAAATACGTTTGAAGCTTGAAGCAGAAAAGTGCAATGGAGAAGAAGCTTCGTTCATCTCTTCACTCTTCACCACCATTAACATTCCAAATCCACCACTAACCCTCAATTCACGCGTAACCCCATTGGGTTTTCCCCTAAACCCCTCAGGTTCACCCCGCTGAAGCATTTTGCCGTAAATGAAGATTCCACTGTTGTCGCTGGGTTGGATGAAGCGGAGAAGGAACTTCGAGAGTCCAGCACTATGCCGGGACGGTTTAGAGATCACATTAAAGAAGCTCCGAATCCTCCTCTCAAGTGGCCGTGGTTTCTGGCTATGGCTTTTCTCGTCTATGCATGGAGAGCCGTTCTATTTGAACTGTCAAACTGGAAGAATGCTGCATTTGGAATTGTTCGATTCATAGGATATGTCTTCAAATATGTCTTTGCTTTACTCTATCGATTCATAGGAAATCCAATCACTTGTACAATCAGATCCATTGAGGATTTGATTTACGGCATTCAAGCTTTTTACTCTTGGATAATTACTAGTGCCCCTGTACCAGACCTGACCATTGTTATCTTCTTCGCATCCGTTGTTTTAGCTATTGCTGAAACTACTGTTCCTAATTGCATTAGAAATCCCTCCGCCTTCTTCCTCTCCTCACGCCCATATCACCTCACAAACCCACCTAATTCCCTTTTCTTCTTCCTAATCGCGCACGTCATATCCCACCCACTTCATTCTCTTCTTCCATTTTTTATCATAGCCACAACAAACTTCACTTATCTTCTTTCAGAACCCAAACGCCATGCTTTGCTTTACAAGAAGTAACAGAATCAACAATTGAAGATGAAAAAATAGAGGAAACACAGACATTGGACAATGTTAAGAAGAAGTTAGCTGTTTTTAACTTACCTTGGTCAGTGTCCGCGCCAGACATCAAAGAACTCTTCAAGGAATGCGGAACCGTAACCGATGTCGAGATTGTAAAAAGGAAAGATGGGAAGGGAAAAGGTTATGCATTTGTTACTATGGATTCTGGAGAAGGGGCTCAGGCTGCTGTTGAACAGTTTGATGCTCGTGAAATATCAGGCAGGATAATAAGGGTAGAGTTTTCAAAGAGTTTCAAGAAACCTTCTCCTCCACCTCCTCCAGTCACCCCTCCAATTCCCACAAGCCAAAACCCCATCTCCATGCTAACTTCCGATACACCATCTTCACAGCTCAACTCACAACACCCTTTCCAGCCGCGGAACCACCCTTCAACAACAACCAACATCCGGCCACTGTGACCAACACACCACCAACTTACCTTCCGCGAACTGCTCTACACCAGCCACCACGCCGGACCAACCATGCACATGCCCTCTCCGCGATCTCGGACGACATGACTGCTCATCACCCAGACGCTGCAAAGTCCGGCCGCCTCCACGGTGAAGGTTCAGATTTCCTTTTGCTTCTTTTATTTTTCTTTTTCACAATTTATTGTTTATCGCGTTTGATTTTGAAAAAGTGAAAAGATGTGTTTGAAAAACTTGAAAAAAACTTGGAGAAGAAGGGATTTGTTTGTGTGGTTGTGCCATCTTTCTACTGATATGTGAGTATATGTTATTTTTTTATGTTTTTTAATCTATTAAAAATGATGTGTGTACATATCTCGCTGGTTTGAAAAGTCTTACTATATTTCTTCTTTGTTTCTTTTATCATTAAAAGAGTGTGTATATGTACTGATAGAAATATGTTGTTAGAAACATAAGTCCCCACACAAATGCCCTTCTATTTTCTTGTTTTATTTTAATGTATTCTCTTGTTAATATTTTAAAAAAAAATATATAAAAATATTAGTAAATCTTATAATTAATTTAGTTAATATTAATTTAGAATTCTTTAATTAGTTTAGATTTATTTTATAACTTTAGAATTTTATTTCATTTAGTAAATTTTAGAATTTTATTTGTTTTAGTTTAGTTTAATAACTTTAGAATTTTATTTGATTTTATTTAAGTTAACTTTAGAATTTTATTTGTTTAGTTCTAGTTTAATAACTTTAGAATTTTATTTGATTTTATTTAAGTTAACTTTAGAATTTTATTTGTTTAGTTTTAGTTTAATAACTTTAGAGTTTTTATTTGATTTAAATTTAGTTTAGTAGTTTTTAGAATTTTATTTGATTTAGATTTAGTTTAGTAACTTTGGAATTTTCATTTGTTTTAGATTTAATTTAGTAACCTTAGGATTTTAATTTAATCTAGATTTAACTTACTAAATTTTAAAACTTTGGTTTAGTTTAGATCAAATTCAATAATACTAGATTTTTTTTATAACCTTAGAATTTGTAATTAGTTTAGAATTATTTTAGTAAGTAATTTTTTAATTTAGTTCGAATAACTTCTTTAGATAATTAGTTATATTCCTTTTTATTTGTATATTTCTGTCATTTCAATTTCTCGGTGCCTCTTGATCATTAATTTGTTTTTTGTCAGATTTATTTTCTTGTGAACTTCTGAATGTTTATATTTTGATGTTCATTTTATTTTGCTTACTCCAAGGAAAAGATTTAAATTTGTTGACTTCACGTTATCAAATACATCTCATCCGATCGTGCGAATACCTTTTTTCATTTTTTGTTTGTTTACTATTTTGCTAAATTCAAGATAATTTTCCCAAAAGACTCCATTTTCAAACTCACACCTTTTAAGTCAAAACTTCGACATTAGGTCGTCATATCTTCAAAAATCTCGTCCATACCCATCTTTTAGCCAAACGAATCATTTTTAATCAAACAAACAATTTTAACCAAAAACAGATATTTCAAAAGGTTCCTGCGGAGTACCGCAGATGCATTGAGTGCTAATACCTTCCCATTGTATAACCAACCCCCGAACTCCCGATCTCTTTCAAAAATGCATTTTATTTTCATTACTTTTAAATATTACTTTACATTGCATATTTTAGGGTTTTGTTTCGCTCTTTTCCCTTTTCCCTTGGAAATAATAAAGCGCGGTGGCGACTCTTGCTTTTGTGAGTCAAGTTAATTAATAGCTTGATCTCCGATTTTTACCGCTACAGAACCTTGGCGCTACCTTTTGTTTTTTTTACGCTTTTCCATTTTTCCATCTTTGCTGTTTTTTGCAGGATTGGGCTTGTTTCTTTGGGCCTAGGCATTTTTACTAACATATTACTCCCAGTTTCCTTACAGCACCCCCTGGCCCAACTATTTCCATACATTTTATTTATTTATTTTTGTTTTCATTTTTGTTTATTAAACATTTTATTTAATATCTAAAATCCTAAAAAATATAAATATGATAATATTGCATTTTTTTAGTTTATTTTATTTTTTACATAAAAAATATATTTTATCTTCAATATATACTAACTATTTTTCTTAAATAAATTTAGATATATTCTTATCTTTTCTCTTATACTTTTATATATATTTGTAAATATTTATTTTAGCATATAAAAACTAAATATTTTCATACCATATTATTTATTATTTTTAATACAAAGAGTACACAAAAATAATATATAAGAACCCTATTTTTTTTCAAACTAGAAATTAGAGTTAAACTTTTTTTAAGAATTAATTTCTTTTCCTTATATTTTTAGGATTAGGTTAAAATTTCTTTTCACACAAAAAAAAAAAAAACAAAATCTTTTTCTTGCATGTACATAATATTGCATATTTAAATATTGTATTTGTTTATTCCAATATTCGTACAACTTCGATTTGGTTGTAATAGCTTATTTAGGTCTACATTCTTGCAAATTCCCATTCAAATTTGTATTCCCCCCTCCCATAAATTGTTGTAATAGTTTAGTAATCTTTACATTACGCAATTTACCGCTTTACATGCCATGTCAGTAATTAGGGTTTGTATGGTAAGATCAAAACAAAGCAAATAGAAAACCCTAATGCAAATCAAAGCATGAAAATAACACACTTGCACACAAGCATCCTTAGGGTTTCTCCAATTGGTTGCCTTATATAAAAATAGCCATATTACACATGCGAAGTATCTTGGCAAAACAAACAAATATAAGATCATAGTCCCTCGATGACGCTATTCAAGGTTGCCTTACAAAATGATCTTGGTCCCTCAAAATGCTAAGATAATTTGCAACATTGCTAATCATGGTTATACGATGACCCACGCCCGTCCCGTTTACATCCAAAGATAGGGTTGCTTACCAAATCAATGGTAAGACAACAATGTCAAAGGAATAGAAAGTGCATAAGAAAGACATTTTGAGTAGGTAGATTACTTCTAGTTACTTGCTCTATTTTCAAACAACTATCCTTGCTATTTTCCAAAACAAACACACATATTTCAAAAACATCTTACAAACATTGAAAACATTTTTCAAAAGACAAACATCTTTGTATACATTCTTACAAATGAGAATCATTATAAAAGATTGCCTAAACGAATGGCCTCTTTTACAAAATACTTTCAAAACCACATCAAACACATTTTCAAATAACAAAAGCAATTGATCTAGCAAGTATCTAAGAGCCCATGGAAAACCATGGATGAAAAGGGTGCTAATACCTTCCCTTTTCATAATCTACCCCCCGAACTCAAGAAAACATCTCAAAGGTCTTTCCTGTGCTTTTTCACCTTTCCTTTTGGATAAAAGAAAAGTCGGTGGCGACTCTTGCTAACCGCAACATTTGCAATAAAACGCAAAACCCTCAAGTCAGTTCTCCCACCGTATCACAGAACTGGAGACTCTGCTGGGGATTTTTATAAAAATGGGGTTACCTTAGGGCTAGATCACATTTATTTGCTTACATTTGTTTGACTTGTTTGCTTTACATTATGGTTATTTGTTTGGGTTTGAATCCTTCACCCGGATTTGGAAAACATTATAGGTAAATAGCAATACATTGTGGAAACGGGGTATACCGACATAGTCTAAGAAATAGCTATATTAGTGTGACATATTTGTGGGTACCGGTAGCCTTTGAGTCAATCAAAGAGAATACGGGGCCGCTGAGTGATGTCATGAAGCACTAATGAACTTCTAGAACCCTTTACTTGACCAACTTGGCCTTTAGGATGTAGTGAGATGACCGACTTTGGTGCAGTCTGAAATTGGTAGATACTCGATACTACACTCATTGAGGGTTAGTTTCTTGGGATATTTCGGTCGCCATTAAAGAGGCTTGAGCTGAAACAATGACCAAGGAAACAATCCAGTGATATTGAGCTCCTTAGAACCCGATTACTATTACTAGGACAGGTTTAAGCCAACTAAACTTCAAGAGGGTATTTACCTATAAAACCCCATGCAAGCCTAAGCTAAGAACTTGTTTGTTTTTCTTGTATGTACATACTTGTGCATAACATCATGGACATCATGAATATCATATGCATTCACTAACCATTTCAAGGATTTTGGAGATTCATCTTTGTTCTTGTTTTGTAGGATATGGATTCACTTCACAGGAAAACTATCCAAGTCAACCTTGTAAGAATTCCTCTACAACTCAAGGAGCTAGCCTCAAGGATCCCTGAGAACTCTCCATTCACCGAGAGGTATGGTCGTCTACTCAACTTGGTCACCTCCAACACAGATGAGGATATGATGAAGGTGCTCTTCCAGTTCTTTGATCCTTTGCACCATTGCTTCACATTTCCCGACTATCAGCTTGTGCCCACTTTGGAAGAATTCTCTCAACTCTTGAGGATTCCCATTCTCAATCAAATACCTTTCAACGGTATAGAAAGAGATCCAAAGCTAGAAGAGATTGCTCAAGCTCTGCACTTGCACTCATCTGATATCATAACTCATTGGGAAACTAGAAGTGGTGTCAAAGGCTTCTTAGTAAAGTACCTGTTTGAGAAAGCCCAAAGCTGTTGGAATTACTTAAACTTATAAGCATTTGAGGAAATTGTGGCTCTTCTTATCTATGGGATGGTCTTGTTCCCCAATCCTGACCAACTCATAGATGTGAGTGCCGTCAAAATCTTCATGTCACACAATCCGGTGCCTACATTGCTAGGGGATATCCTGCACTCTTTTCACACTCGCACAATGAGGAAAAGAGGTGTCCTTATATGTTGCACTCCTATCCTAGCAAGATGGTTTATTTATCATCTTCCCCAATCAGTTTTAAATAATGAGCAAGGTTTTAGGTGGTCACAAAGGTTAATGACGCTCAAACATTCAGATATTCATTGGTGCTCCCGATCCAAGGAGAATGTTATCATTGTGGACCATTTTGGGGAATTCCCTAATGTCCCTATACTTGGAATTAGGGGAGGCATCAACTACAACCTATGCTTAGCTCTAAGATAGTTTGGTTATGCCCGAAGAGATGGCCCGCATGAGATGCTGATTCAAGGCTTGGTTTTCGACAACGACAACAACAATCAAGATCTTCGCCAGAGATTCATCCGAGCTTGGAGGATGCTAAACAAGGTGGATAGAAAGACTTTGGGACACAATAATTCCATCCCTCTTGAGCCTTACCTCAAGTGTACGAACCCACGCTCAAAGTCTTAT